GAAGCTAAGCAACAATTACTTTGGTTGTAATTGCAACAGAAAATCTAGAAACATGTAACATATCCGACAACATCAAATACTTTGTAGCGTCCATTCCCATATAAAGGAGACAACAGACTAAAAGGCTTGTCTAATATACGAATATTTAAAGGCTTACGAAGACTGAAAACATAGACTCTAGCAAAGATAGAAGTGCGCCAAATAAAACAAACATGGCAGATGTTAAACGATTTACATATTCGGCAAATACGAGAAAAAAGGAGGTCTACCAAACGGTACGGGAACCCTTTCAAGTGGTTGTCGTGTTAGAAACACCCGTCAGATGTCATGCTCCATTCACTCGATGGCAACACTGCTGCTGCATAATGTATGCGCGGGCTTGCGCTCCTAGCGTTTGCCTTTACCCCGTTCCGTTGCTGAGAGGCGAACGCACAAATCTCCGCCTGAAAGCGAGTAATATTTGCCTACACATCAAACTTTCACTATCGCCGTACGCTTTCGTTTTTATATCCGCAAGCGGCGGCCCACCAGCTTTGTTATTTCCTCCGTGAATGCTTTTTTTACATTTTTTTTTCGCGTTTAACAACTCGTATAAAGGTAGCGGTGCATTTCAATGGAGTGGCTATTATAGGTAATGGAGACAGCAAAAACGTGTAAATGGATATGTCAAGAGTGAACACTGTACAATTATGCATAATTGTATTAATAGGACAAACCAAGAAAACTGGAAATTAATTTTTAATTCAACTCTAATTCCTAAATTATAAATATAGGTTACTACATAATTAGTCACCTACTCGCTGTAACAATAAATATGTTGAGCCTACAAGTACCTATATTGATTGAGTTTCATTCTAAGTTCTAAGACTATTTATTGTCATAATCACTTTTCTCTTAGTTTAGACCATATGGTTTATTAACACAAAGTACTACATTAAAAAAGATGCACTACTATCCATAGACCCCATTGCCATCAGAATGAGATAACTTCGCCAATCATCACCATCAACATAATCATTGAAAGAAACACCATGTGTCTAGTATTCCTCGTAAAAAAGGTGGTGAAACACGCTTTAAAATATATGGAAATAAAACTTTCAAGTTGCAATTATTATTTTTATATTGATGCAATAATTGCCATAGTGTTTTTTCTATTTGTTTAAACATTTAACAGATTTATCAAGCCAATTGAGGTTACAAGTATTAAATAAGGCAATTGATGTTACTAAGAATAAACTAAAATGGTACTAAAGTGACAATTGGCTGTAGTGCCCGCACACCAAACATATAAGATGATGTAGATTCCCAAGAACAGTCTACTTTCAGTAGTTTATCTATTGTCAAGTTAATATCAACAAAGTATCAATGATGAAAACAGTCAACTCTCTGCAACAGGAAAACCCCACATAAAAAAATTTATAAATTAGCTAACAGGAGATTGCAACCTCTTCACCACACTGGCAAAAAAATCTTCCTAATATTATAAATATGAATTTTTCAATGGATGGATGGATATTTATTTGAAGTTGTCTCCCGTACGGCTACATGGCACTTGCTGTAATTTGGTATAGATGTAGAACATAGTCAGGAAGAACACATAGGCTATTAAGTTTGTTTTTTAAATACTGCGCATACAGAGTTTCTCGACTGCATGTTATCTTCCATACAATTAACAAAATTGGAGAAAACTAAATTTTTTCTAACTATAAACTAACATTTAATAGTTCAATCTCTATAAATATCTCAAATAATTCTGTACATAAAATCTAGGATTTTATACTTAGCAAATTTGATGTTACTAAACATCAAATTTTTTGCCTATATACTACTTTTTCACTTATATTACAGGGTTTTCATTTTTAAGCACCGGCTGGATAATGATAATATTAGATGAAAGCGACCATGATATTGTTCTTTAGAATTCTACATCCATAAATAATTTCAATACGGAAGGATAAATTTCAACAATTTATCCTTCCTGGAGATAAATATCAACATCCATTCATCCCAACTTTTGCATTAAAAATATTAGCAAAATTATGTTACCCAAAGTAAATAAAACATGTTAAAAAGATGAAATTGCTTGATAAGTATTATTTAATTTCCTTTCAATATGGTAAATTTCTTGGTATAAATAATTTTAATAAAAGGCCAACAATAAATTTTAAGAAAAAAAATTTCCACCAACATCTATTCATTTCTAGGAAATAATAACAATATTTTATAATAAATAACGGGATAAAGGGACTGCAAAAAATACACGCTACTAAGACGCCTAGATATTATGTTCAACATAATGGCAATTTAACTTTAAATTAATATTGATAAAATATGTAATTAAAGTTTTTCATATAAACATATCACAAATAGTGCCTAAAGTTTAGAATTGAATAAATGTTGGAATGAATGGAAAACTGCATAACCAATCTGATGATTAAAATTACAAAAAAATAATTACTAATGCTGTCTTCGAAGACATCACCATCTAAGTTTTAAAATTAAATGAGATGCTAAGGAGATGAAAAAAAAATATTCAGAATGTTTCCCTGCACAAAATGTACAAAAAAAGAAAAAGAAAATAGTCTTATCAATTAATATGAATAAGTTTTCCAGTTTTTTGTAAAATTCTTAACTTTAGTAGCTTGGAACTTCATATAAACCTTTACAATTAGTATGAAAATTTAGTATTTTATACTTAATCAGTAAACAGTAATTTAGTTATTTTGTCATGGTATAATTGGCTTATAAGTATCTTAAACTTAGTTAGAAGTAATACTGTATCGTAAAATATGAACTCACCGTAGAATTTCTGTAAGGTCCACCTTGGGGATTATAGGGAGGCATAGGTCGCGGCGGTGGCCAGCCGGGCGCGGGCCCGTAGCCCGCCGGCGGCTGTTCGTAGCTATTAGGGTAGCGGTGTGGCGGCGCACCGCTCGATTGCAACAACGAATTGAGTGTAGGCGTCGGGCCTGGTGCCTGTGACGCAGGCTGCCCCGGAAAGAACCTTTGCTGCGGCGGCGGCCGCGGTTTGCCGGGAAATCCAGGCCTCGCAGCATAATACGGGTCTGCGCCCTCTGGGTATCGATACTGGCCGTACTGGTCCGGCCCCGGCCTCTCGCCGCTCCGGTCGTGGCCGGGCGCTTCGCCACCGTCGCGTGGCTGTCCCGGATCGGCCGACATCGGCGATTTACTCTTTGTGTTCACAACGCCATCGGGCGGAACGCGCCCTACGCTCTTGTCAGTGCCGTTTTGTAATAGAGCGCTCCGCGATTCACCGAGCTGCTCCGTTGGACTCTGATCTACGTTCACTTCGCTACGCTGAGACTCTGCCTGCGTCGCAGCCATGTTCGGCTGGTAGCGGCCGTCCCTGCTTACACTCGCTCTAGCGATCGACCGGCTCACTTACGTTACATCGAAAACGGGCGTCGGATTGCAAAACCGCGACGCGGACACTTCCATCACTATTATGCCCAATAACTGCACAAATTGTAACGCGAAACTGACGAAAAATCGTTCACCGACGCACACACATCGATCACATATCTACTCCATTGGCGTAAACGAGGTTATGGAAAAGGTTACATATCTAGCGGGCGCTTTTGTCATGTTCACACTGAACATTTCATATCACTTTCACATTTACAACACTACCGATGCGATCACTGATTGCAAAACTCATACCCTAATCTATAGATAGATGAAATATTCAAAAACAGAACAATAGAATCACGAAACTTCCAAAATTATTAGCGTCCGCCATTAACAGACTTGAATTCTACAGCACTCGGTGACGCTTTTGCCTATCTTCACTACAGTGACAAAAAATAAAAATCTTGCAGTAGTAGCGTTAGTAATCAGATATTAACTCAGATGTATGTTATTTTGAAAGAGTATAATGATAAGCCTAAAATGTTTAACTCTAAGCACCAAATATGGAAAAATTAACTAAGAATTATCTGTGCATGTTTACATTTCCGTAATATTGCGACCACGTAGTTACTGCAGCAGTGCCAACCTCAAAAATTGTCTATGGCCTATGTTGAGTTCCGCTGGCGCCAAGACATTCGTTGCTATGTTCACTTTGATTTGAAGTTTAGAGATTTCGAAAGTTTCATCTATTTTGTTGATAAATTTACTTTTGGCTTACACTCTTAATTTTAAATTGTTCACAAACCGTATTTAAAAAGTCTTATTTAACTTTGTACAGTAAACACATTAATTTGACAAACAATTTTATGTGCATGACTATTTGACAGTATACCAACATTTCGAAATAATATTTTCTCATAGATTAAAAATACTTTTCCACTATCTGTTGACTTATAAAAACAATTATTTTTTAATTCGTAACTGTATACATGATATCGACCATTTTACGAATGATCCTTCAATATTACGACAAAAGAAATACTTTTTAACTACGAATACTTTCATTATAAAATTTATATTTATCGGTAAAGTTGTTTAGAGGTTCATGTGGAACCAAACTTTGGATTCAATACTTCAACGTTAAGTATAACCTAACAGAACAAATACGTTCCCACCTTTTCCAATAAGGAACTTGAAAGGGCGACGGATTTAACTTGGAGAGGATATGGGTAGGAAAAATAAAATGGTTTTTACGTACATCCCCTTCTAATACGTAGACAGAGCAAATGCGGTTAATTTGTTGCTGACATCTATTTTAGTTATAAAATAGCACCGTTTGCCACCTTCTATTGTGAAAACTCTAGACTGCAGAATGTAGTTAGAGGATACCGATAATTTCCACCTTACATATCTGAAAACTGTCTTGTGCATTCCCACTTGTTTGAATCTTAAGAGACCATAGACTATGTTTGAAGAATCGGAAGCTAAACGGCAGTCGAATGCTATAGTAATAAATTAGTAATTAACAGAATGTATTGTTTTTTGGCGATTGCTTCCTATATACATTTAAGCTTTACAAAACATGACACATCTATAAAAGAAAACAGGTCCTAACATTAATAAATATACTCTTTCTTAAAAATCGTTTTATTTTTGTTTCCGTTATACAAAGGTGGTTAACATTGTTGCAAAAATATTATTTTTTTGTACCAATATCGCATCATTAAATAAAGTTATATTCACCGAACATCTGAGAAGATGCGGAGAATGATTATTAAAAGTTATTTTTTGTTACCTCAGAACAATATCGTAAATTGATAATATCTCCATAAAAACAGCTTTGTCAACTTTTTTTGGACAATTATATTTTTACACATACTCATCATTTATCCTGATTTTTTTTACGATGGAAACGAAATGTCATATTTTATTTATACAAATATTATTTTGTTCGTATGTCAGTTGGGTAATATTTATTCAATCAAAATGTCCAATACAAAATAAACGATTATGATGTAGTTAAGATAAGTTCTATTTTAGACGTACCTTACCCTGTAGGTTTAGCTAACCTCATTATCTTACAGTTGGTTTCTCACTTATTACATGTTTTCAACGGAGATTTTGGTCTTAGAAACCAAATATTTTATAAACGATGAATTAATTTAAAATAATCGCATAACAAGTTTCTACTACAAAATATTGACAATTTGCGATATTGTTGTTTTGTACTGAGTGTTTAATTTAGTTATAACTACATTATTTATAAAATATTCAATAAGGAAAGGGACATGTGGCATCACGTAAGGGCAAAATTTTTCGACGAACAACTTAAAAATTTTCTATCATACATCTAAAGCTAACAAAAGTTTATTAATTTAAATTGAGCGAATGTATACAATGCCAAATATATATCTCATCTTTATACAATCAACAAACATAATTGAAAAAAAAATCTATATAAAATTTCTATAAAAAAATTACACATAAATTAGTTATGGCATAAAAATTATCAACTAAACCAGTTATAAATCTCAAAATAAAACTATGATTTAAGTACAAAGATCACGACTTACTATAGTTTAGTTAACTTTGAACACAGATCTTGAAGCTAGCAAGTTAAATTAAGCCGTAGTAGAAAATATTATACACCAAAAAATTTAAACCGCTAGAAATTTACAAAATATATGTTTTTAAATATGTGTGAAGTCAGTGTTAGGTAAAATTTTAATCACTATTGTCTATATACATTGCATTTGTTCCAGCGGGAATGTTATCTTTTCAGTGGCAAAATTACTATCGTTGTAAAAAAATCTAACAAAGGCTTGAATACACTAAAAACATTGTTATAAACCAAATATTAGCTATATTGCTCTAAAAACTAGATTAAAAAGGCCTGTTACAAATATTTTATTTATAAAGTTATTCGAAAAAGGTCACAATATCTTCTTGTTAACTTCCAAGTTTGTTGACTTCCAAATTAAAAATAATAAAATAATTAACAAAGATATTTAATTCGGTTGTAATGATTATTGTACAAAAATAACTATTATGAAGCAAAAAAGTATTAATTTTTAAAATAAGACATGATTCAAATAATTTTTCTAATAAAATTCTGTTCCAAGTGCTATGTATTCAAACCTTTGCATCAGTCATATTAATACTGCAACATTCCACTATTCCATACTTATCTACTACAATAAGGGAAATTTTTATATCAAATTTAAACACGTTATTTATACAACTTAAAGCGTGTTTCACACTGTTATTGCATTTTTTATGGTCTTTTAGGTTAGACTACGTGAATCAGGATGATCCAAATTCGTCCATCCACGTGAGGTATTTCTGTATGTCCCCCTTGGACACGGACTTGTTGCATTTAGCGAGTGCTTCGAGGAAATCCTGCCTTGTTACTGGAAGGTCGAGTTCCTCTTTCGCCAGCTGCTTGATCTGTTCCGGTTTCAAACCAGCTATTTTCCTACGCATCGACATCATTGATGCGTCACTGAAAATATATTAATAGTGTAGTGAAGGTAAACACAAAATCATAACACTAATATTATAAATGCGAAAGTTTATATGGATGAATGGATGGATGTTAGAAGGTATCTTCGGCATGGCTCAACGGATTTTGATGAAATTTGGCACAAGTGTAGAACATAGCCTGATAGAACAAATAGGCTATTAAGTTTTTCTTACTTCCACACGGACAATCTCGCGGGCGGCACATAGTAGTTAACTTTAATATAATTTCTGGACAAAAATATGACCACTTTAGTAGAATAAAATTTCCAATTCAGCAGCTTGACTTATTCAGAAACATAATGCCATCGATTCGTTTTTTTTTCGAAAATAATCCGGTATTGTAAGGGTTTCAATAAATATGTTACCGGCAAACATTCGTTATATCAGCTCCGGAATATCCGTCTAGTTTCATAGCGATCAGCCTGAGGTCCACCTCGGGGTCGACTTTGACCTCACGCAGGTTGATCTGCAGCAGCGCCTCGCGGCCCTCCTGCGTCGGCAGCGGTATGTAGATTCTCTTCTCTAAACGTCGCCGCAGCGCCTCGTCTATGTCCCACGGGAAGTTAGTTGCTGCTAGCACCATTACTACCTGGAAGTAATCTTACTAATATTATAAATGCGAAGGTTTGGATGTTATGGATGGATGTTTGTTAGAAGGTAACTCCAGAACGGCTGTATAGATCTTACTGAAATTTGGCATAGATGTAGAACGTAGTCTACACACAAAAGTTACTAGGTATTTTTTAATTCAGCGTAGACGGTAGTTGCGGGCGACAGCTAGTTTTGCTATATTTTTGATTGAGGTGTTGATGTACCTTTGCGGGTTCATCAGTGGCGGATCCGAGGCCGTCCATCTGCACGAGCAGCTCAGACTTGACGCGGCGCGAGGCCTCGTGCTCGCTGTCGGAGCCGCGCCGCGAGCACAGCGAGTCTATCTCGTCGATGAAAATCGTGCTCGGCGCGTAGAACCTCGCCTGAATACATATATTCAAATATAAAATAAACAAAAAGTTTTTTTTTGCTATTAATCGTAAAAACAAATCAGCATACAGCCGTTTTAGATTTTATTAAGAACTTAAACGACAAAATCATTCAATAAAGAAACAAATAAAGGAAATTTTCATTTTACCATATTAATAAATACAATTATCCGTTGTATTCCGTGTTTATGTCATTTTAAAAGAAAACGGTGCGGTTCTAGGGCATGTGGCCATCGTTTCGGAAAGAGGTAGCGGCCAGGCCAATATAAATAAAGTAAATTCGTACAAAAGCGGCTTGTATCTTACCATTTCAAACAACAATCGTACGAGTTTCTCCGACTCTCCGCGGTATTTAGATGTGAGGGTAGATGAGGAAACATTGAAGAAAGTGGTGCCGCACTCCGTGGCCACCGCCTTGGCCAGCATCGTCTTTCCTGTGCCTGGTGGTCCCACCATCAGCACACCTTTCCACGGACGTCTGATTCCCTGCACAAAACAGCAAAAAGTTACATATCCATTGTTAAGTGCTCTGGGATGAAATCTCTTCTTGTTTCCCCTGTCAAAAAAATCTCTACATATCCTTATCATAGGTGGAGGGTCACAAACCTTTCTGATATAACACTTTTAAGGTCAAAATTATTAATATTTTATTGCCTATTTTTAGATGTATTGTGTTCTGAAAAATGCTATTGAAAAAAACTTTGAATTCCGTGAAAAATAAATAGCCCCTAAACAAGGGTTTCTTTTCTTATCCAATTAAAAAATGAAAAAAAAAACATATTATTTTAAATTTACATATTAATAGTAGTTATGAACATAACGATATATTTTTATATAGGTAATAGATAAGAAACCTTGAAGAAGTCCGGCATCCACATTGGCAAGACGACCGCTTCCTCTAACAGCCTCTTGGCCTCCGTCAGGTCCGCGATGTCATCCCATCTTATGTTAGGGTTCTTTTGTACTATATCTCTCTCTGAAATAACGAAAAAAGCCTTAATTATTTTAATTAAATAAATGAATCATAATGCCTAGATTACATTATACCAGTACAGTAGTGTACAAAATCATCGCTGGCGTACGATCGGCATAATGTGAGTCAAAGCAGTCATTGCCAGGCCAGCGATACTATTCTACTTATTTCGTAGTTATTAGCCGACTACAAAAAGAAGGTTAGCAATTCGTCTGTATTTTTTTATGTGTGTTATCGCATAAATCCGCTCTGGGTGCTCTGATTTTTATTTTTTTAACGAAACTAAGTCATCTTGTGTTATTATTACAGTTTTCACATATCTTAGCGGCTCTAAACTCAGCGCGTGTGCGCAGAACATGTTAGTTATAAGGGACGCAAATTGAGGAGAGCACTGCGAAACACAGCTATGATCTTGAGCCTACTAAACTAATATATTTGAAAAGCACAATACCTTCTAGTATAAAAAATATCTTACCAAGCATATCAACGAGGTCTGTGTCAGCAGCTGATGGCGGTTCAAATCGCCGCTCCTCATCTTTGTGTCGCTCGTCGTCTGTATCACCGTTGTTGTTGTCCCTGTCCTGCTTGTCTTTGCCGCTGTGATCTTTGTTGTTGGACTCCTTTGTCTTTGCTGCAATAAAATATTAATTTACATGTTACAATGGATATTATAATATATTTGTTGAATTTTTAGATGTAAATTTTCTATCATATTGCAATATATCAATGTTTAAATAAATATCATAGTTTATCACACTAGAGGAATTGCAGAGGCGTTTTTAGACTGTTTTCATCGAGTTTATCAGGTCCGAAAAACAAAAACAAATACAGTCGAACCGGGATAAGCGAGAGTCAATGAGACCGAGGTTACTCTCTTACTCGAGTTTCTCGCCCATGGAGGAAGTTCGGTAGAACAGGACAATGACACTCGCTTATAGAGGTTTCTCCCTGATCCAGGTACGGCTATGAGAAAAATGTATAAATGTTTTTTACAAGTCTCTCGGCAAAGGTCACTGTTATTCGACTCACCACTATGAGCCTTGTTAGTATTGAGCTTGGGGTTCTTGATATCAGAGGTCTTGCGCTGCGAGGTGGTGGCATTACGCTGGGCAGTGGACGGCTTCTTGTTGTCTCGATTGTTGCGGATGTTGTTGCGAGCAGACTTCATCGCTGGCGGACCTCTGACGAGATAAATTATTGCGTTTATTAGTTTAAACAATGATTAACTGCCGAACTCAGAGTTGTTAAGTGTAGTATTAATACAATAAACGTATCGTTTATCAATAAAAGTTTTGTTTTCTCAAAAATCAACTACAATTTCATATGATATCTCTTAGATTAGGTGGAGTTCTCTATTTGGGAAGACAGTGAGATCAAGTCTAAGGCTACTAAATTATTGTAAAGTTTTTTTTTGCAAATAAAGATTAAGTACTCAGCCAGAGGCAATGACTTAAACAAAAGCTACTAAATTATTAGCTATGTGTAAGAATATCTCCTAACACATATTAAAACAACTTTATGCTAATTTTACTCAAACGGTGCTGATATAAAGTAAGGTGGTTACATAAACCAGCCGTCATTTTATTTAACACGTGTCCAAACGTTAATTGCTACAAGCAAATGTAAGTTTATAAATATTGAAGCCTCAACTGCAAGGTGTGTGCTTTAATTTATATAACTTTATTTCATTTAGTACACATTGATATTAATAATGATTAATGTAAAGTACGATCAGGCAATTTATTTTTGTACGACGTCGATAAAGTTAGCTCCTGTACTATAATATTGGCATTATGAATACTAAAAAGACACGTCGTATATTTTTAAAACTTGACATCATAAAAAATAAGTGAATTATTATCTTATGTTAGGTCTCAATAGTGCATACTACATACGTATATACATATGTATATTTTTTGCAATGTATTCTAAACATGTGGTGCACCAAGTTGTCTACTTTTCTTTCTATTTAGTGCACATGGAAGTGTACGGGTGCGTATGAGCATATGCTTTCCTGTGTCGTAGTGCAAGCTGTAATTATTTACTTGTGCTCAACGCTGGTAGGGGGCGGCCATGCGTTGGGGTCGCGGTCCGGCGGCGGCGGCCAGATGTCCGGGTCGATCTCGTGAGGTGCAGCCCCCCACATCTGGTCTCGCGTCGGCAGCTCCTCGTAATCTGAAAACATTACCAATTAACATTTAGTACGCAAATTAAACTTACTACTATTACTCCTAAGATAACTCTACCTTTCTCTTTACTTTCTTTCCTAAAAGTACAGTAGGTAAAGGTCGAAATATATAATTTAATGCATTTGCATTTTACGTTACCTGATGCGTATCAAACAAATCTAGCTTTACTATTTGAATGATAACATTAGAACCGTGTTTTTGTAGGCCGGTTTATTTTTGTATCATTTTCTAACTAAACGTATAAGACAAACAACATTGTTATGGTATACGTGCCTACCCTACAACTTCCGTCCACTCACTAATGTTCCCTCGCACCTCCCTTGTTGATGTTTAGTCGGATTCCATTTCTATTCTAGTCGTATTCCCGGCGGCGGAGAGTTGTCTTAATCGCCGGCAATTCTCACTTTGTTAATTTTAGAAATAATAAATAAACAACCTAATGTTGCTTTTAGAGATCTGACCTGAATGTTACTTTGAAAAGGACTCCACTGTTGATAATACTTTCGATTGTACGTTTTAACAAATCTTGTAGATATAGTGAAATAAAATTAGTGATCGCGTTTACCATAAGAGTTTTTTCAGACTATAATTTCAGAATAAAATCAGCATCAGGCGTAACTCAGACGAATCGAGAACCTTCTCCTTTTCAAAGTTAAAAAAGACGATGCACGAAAATCTTCCCCAAGTTTCTGCACAAACTTTTATTCGTTGCCTTATGCATCGTACAAATAAGTTGGTCGGTCAGTAGGTAATCTAAGGTCGATTACTTATAATTATTTTACATTATAACGTAGAAAAGTAAAGGTCATTGTAACTAGATTCTGTCATTGTTATTAAGATAAACTGCGCTCTAACTGTTACATATTATTCTCGGACAAATGGACAGAGAAAATTGTTGCTAACGGGATAATAATCTCACAGTGATGGAGGAGATTGACCATCCTGACGACTTCCGAAATAGAGAAAATTTTAGATAAATTTTCCACAAAATTAATACCTTCAATCATCTGTGTGAAAGCCATAAAATAACAAAAGAGAGTAATTAATTTTTTTACAACCATCACAATTAAAATCGATTATCAACGCCATCTGGTTGGCACTTTCGAAACGCGTTCCACAGTGCCCTGTACCCTTAAACTGGTTTCTTTGGTAATTCACCTTGCGTGTTAAATCGGTGCTCGGAGTAAAGGTTTGTCTTCACGAAACTACAACTTTAAAAGAGGTCAAGTAAAAGAATAATCGATATGTAGAGGCAAAAGTCAATGTACTGGCCGAATTGACTGGACTACTGCGAAATTAAAAAAATACTTTGCCAGTATAAATATAGCTTTATGTGGTCTCAATAAAAAAGAAAAAAGAACGGTCGAAAAATTCATGATTAATTAATTAAAATTGTGTATAATTTAGATCAACATTTAAATACCACAAATTTTTATATATCAGGTTTACAATATTACGAGGGCAACTTCTTTTTAAAGCATTTCATTCGAAAACTTTATTATTCTGTCCACATTTAGCCTTTATTGCATTTTATTAGCATGACTTATTTCAATTAATTAATAACGAAATAGCAATTCTTTATTTAAATAAAAATTAGATCATGTCGATGAAACAAAGGAATAAAAACAATTAGATTAACGACAAGACATTTTTTGTTTTTAGTTTTATAATAGTTAACGTAATACAAAAGATATGTAGCATATTAATTCCAACTTGAATATTTGCACAGCATTCCGCATATATTAGACACCCACGAGAAATTAATATTAATAATTGGAATTAAGCGTAATACGAAAGGCTGTTTAAATTATTGAATAGCAGCCACCAGAATACGTTCATATCTGTTACTACTAAAACAATTACACAAAAACATGGCATAATGGCATGGCAACATGTTTTAGACAAGTGTTGCGACAATGAAAACTCATGGTAACATTAATAATTCTAGTCCCACTCATTCAATCTTTCGTTGTAATTAGCACTTCAGATCGAAACACGTCACTTGTAAATGAACTAAAAACGTAGACTAACGAACTTTAAGACACGGTATTATTTCTTGCATAGCACAAAATTTATTCGCACAATAATAAGATGACATATCACATCTTACTAATATTATAAATGCGAATGTTTGGATGTTTATTTGAAGGTATCTCTAGAACAGCTGAACGGATCTCGATGAAATTTGGCATACATATAGAACATAGTCTAGAAGAACACATAGGCTACCTATTAGTTTTTTTTTTTAATTCCGCGCGTATAAAGTCGCGGGCGACAGCTGGTATGTAGATAAAAGTCAAAGGTAATCTGTTACCAAAGGTCGTTGAACTTGCGGTAAATCAAGATGCTTTAAGGTATCGATCGTCAGTCGTCAGCAATGTATCTACATGTCAGTCACCTTGCAATGGCGAGGTCGTGCTTCAACTACGAGTTTGTACCGTGTAAGGACTAAAGTGCAGGACTTGTTTTTGCTAACGTTTACCGTTGGACAGCCTACACGGTTAAGTATTTTGATACGAAAAATCAATTTAATAATGTCTGATTTACATCATGCCAGTGCAGTAGCGATCAAAATCAGCACTTGCATATAGCTTGCGTAATGGAAATACCAACTAGCGCCAATGAGCCCAAATATTCAATTTCAGGCCAGTGCGACTGTCCTACCGTACTGGCATAATGCAAATCAGGCATGATTATGTAAAATGTAAGATGTAAACGTAGAATCCACAATGTAACACGGTGTTAAACGATTCTAGCATCAACATAAAATATACAACCGTACTATTGACCTCGGCTTCGTTTGAGTAGGCAGATATTTTTTTTTAATTTCCTAATATTGAATATGCCATGGTACTAAGGATTAATGTAGCATTATATTAGTAATAGTATTTTAGAATCAGTTCAGTAGTTTTAAATCGTTACAAACATATAATTTTTTTTTTCTATTTATAATATTCTAACAACACATTGTAAATAAGTTTCAAATTAAAGTTTCTTCTGAGTCACTTTTGCTATAAAAAACGGAAATCAAGGCAATATTTTTTAATATAGTTCACGATCTGAATAATTTGATATTGAAGAAATCGTGAGTTTTTGACCTCGACAATGACATTACGAACATTGCTATATATAACAATTACAATGAAATATCGATTCGAACAAACGATACATGAGGAACCAATTCAAACATTTAACCATGAAGGTTTCAAACTTTGTAAAACATTTGAACGTCATATTTAATTCAATACTAGTTTTTGTTACTAAGAATATTATGAACTTTCAAAAAGCAATATTTTATTAAACAGCCATGGCCATTTCATATAGAAACTATTTAATATTGAGAAAAAAAAAGGACAATAAAACATACTTATTTAACCACTTTTTTCATGCACACAGATAAAAAATATTGAATACTAGCTGTCGCCCGCGACTCCGTCCGCTCGCGATATCTTTTCTACCAATTCCAAATTTCATGGAGATCCGTTCAACCGTTCTGGAAACCTTCAAACAAACATCCATCTATGAATCCATTCATCCATACATCTAAACATTCGCATTTAAAATATTAATAAGAAGTAAGATTATATTGCTACTAGATTCCATAATAAGAGAGTTAATGCATTTTTAATAACATTCATAAAAGTTGCACAATGGCTCTACCCGAAAGTAGTGTTGAATGAATATAAACAATAGCTGTAAGTATTAGATTGGATAACGACGACGGACAAACAGACCGATTGACGTGCGTTGGCTATCTGAAGACAAGAATGTATGAAGCATTGTTTAATACCCACGTAACATTGGTAACTACCGATTGTAATGTTTTCATCCAACCGTCATCAGTGATAACTAACCAAAGTTAATAATCGAACGAAACTTCGAAAAAAAAATATATAGTGCATAAAATATTAGCTCTTCTATTGAACATATGAGTACAAAAGATTTTCGTCCCGAAGTTTTCAAGACACTCCTTTTAAAATTTTACTTGTTTGACGATTGGTTAACATCGTAAATAAATGTAGCTTTCCAAAAACAGCTATACTTTAATTAAAATTCCTCGTACTGGCCAAACAAAAAAAAATTGAGCCAATTTTATCCGTTTTGAAATGTTCGAAAGAAAAAAAATTGAATTATGCCTACAGAGGTCCGGAATCTCCGATTTTTTTGTAGGGAACGAAGTTGTAAAAAAACATTTTAAATAACTTACTAGTCGTAAGCGGAGTGATAGCTTTTTCACCTTCATGCTGGAACATTTGGAGCGTTGCGACAGTCGCTTTTAGTTGTTCGTATTCTCTCGCCATCTGCTTTTGTACCTATAGGCAAAGAAATCTGTGATATATTCGACGATCTATGACACAAGATAAATTTAATATTCATGTATTTTCAGTACAGACAATACGTAAGTTTTATTGAATTATATGAATCCAGAGTTAATATCGTCGCCTATAAATTCAAGCGACGTGTTATCATGATTGTCATCAACATCCCACAGGAAAAAGTTTCAAACATTTCAACAGGATATTGTCTGTGTCGTGACGTACGTGGGTCGCTTCAACTTTCCACGAAGCGAGTCATTAAGCGATGGTATCGGATCGTCGGGCAAAGCGATGCATAAAAAACGTTTTGATGCTCTCGAGAATGATCCGTCCGGCCTTCGGAGATGTAACGAAGTGGTGATTGACAAGATATGTTAATTATTAGACCACATTTTCTTATATTTTTACAGACGATTACAATAATATACGACTGTAGATATCACAGTTATATAACGTATAATCCTATGTAATGCGTAGCAGAAAAGGTATGGCAGAAATTAGGTAAAAAGCAGATTAACTTCAACTTGCAGTATGTTGAATGTATCTGACTGTTAAGCTCATGTCTTGTAGATTTATAATGTTGAAGCACAACCAACGCTTTCTAATAGAAATATAGAAACTCCAAATTCAAACAAAAATTGGAGCGCCTTACATAATTAATACAGCAATTCTAGCTTTCGCTTTACATGGGAATAAATAACAAGAAAAAAATCATTATAATTCTTTGCATTAGCCTTCTGATTGTATTACGAATTCATACGAATCACAGCAAACAGTGTTGGACTACAAAAGGGGTATTACGAGAAGCTAAAACAAAAGAGAAATCCGATCTCCCACACGATAAACATTCACAACAGCTGATCACAAAGGAAGCCTCCCGTGTAACGCGATGACAAATTATTAATTATACACGTTTCGCTCCATTTCACCCGTCTCTAACGATACCTTGACCGAATTATGGTTATTTTTCTATCAGTAACAGCCAACGAAAAAATTACTTTGACTGCCTAACTTTGTAAATAACATATGATGAAAATTACTTGCTACGTATTGTTTCTGTATAGATATTTTAATAAAATAAACAAGCACAAAATTCCAAATTTGTACATTTATACCCAATGATCTTATTTACAGCGGCATTTACAACTTGGAGACTAAGAAATAAGGTCTTTATAGTTGTTCCAATTAACGTCATTACATTCTCTAGATAACCTTGTATCAGTGTACGTGATTGGTCATCTTTTCTTATATATGTTACAAATTATAAACAAAAGTTTGAAGGGTTCTTGTTTTAGACGCTGATTGATTGAGTGTGGTCCAAGTAATTATTCAATGGTGTAGGAAATCGGACACCTGAAACGCGACCGACATAAATTATGAACTCGAGGTCAATGACACCAAGGTAAACACGTTGCGCACTGTAGGGTTACCTTTCTTTTGAAAAACTTGAACCCTTATCTACGAGCAGTATAAATATTAAATAATGTAAATTGACTCTAATTACCCTAAAACGTTTTTCCATCGATAATAATCCTTGAAAGTTGAAATTAGAACTAGAATTCTTTGACCTAACGTATTTTATTAGATCGATAACTAATAACAATTTATATTCGTTTCGAAGAATTATTTTTGTAACATGATTAATAATCTACGTCAGCTAAACATCACAAAAAATGACAAGGTAACATTTTCTTAAGTTTTTTTAATGATAAATTAATAAGAACAACTTCAATACTAACTTATATCATGTGTTTTATTGCATAAAATTAGGGTCATAGAATATAGAAAGATTAACATCTAGGTATACCTGTTTTGTTAACTTCTAAAAGTCGTCAACCCTGAAATGTTACCGTACAAAATGACCACGACTGACATAAGCTACAATAGAACAAATGCTTGGCGTTCATCCAGACACCGAATTAGACTAGGTGACCTGTTCAAAGCCTAACCGCTCTCGACTCACATGGCAACTCTTGCTTATCGTCTGACATCTTAGCTCATTAGCATCGTACTTTATCGCCTTTAGGATGACTCAGATGTAACACTAGTATGATTAAATTAAATCCACTTCAAGCCTTGATTCATGAGACGAAAAGTCTCAGATATGAAACAAATTCTAACAAACAAAACGATTCCTTCTCCTCCAACTTTTAAGCCGTTTTACCTGTAGGATATTGACTCTTGTTCACATCTGATTGCCATCCATGAATAGAAATTAGTAAGCAAGCAAAAAAAAAATGAAGAATAAAAATGTCATTCGCTAAACCACGCCAGGGGAGAAAGAGAGGGCGGCACAGTGTCGCCCAATTCTCTGTGTTACAAACTCTTAGATCAGATGAAATAATTCGATTTTCAAAGAGTAAAGGTGGTGTAAAATAATGATGATAAACCTCCCACATTCTCCTCTACTATAACATAACAAATATTTATGTATGTATATAACAATGGAAACAAACCCTAACAAACATATAACGCGCCACAAACTGCGGGTAGCAGATAAAGAAACATTTGCATAGCACTTTAGCAATCTTACAGACAAAACTACCATCAACGTTATACAAGCGTTAACTTTCCGTGAAATATTGCTAACTCCGCCTTCCTGGCTTGAAGTTGATAATGGTTATTAATCTTAATAGCAGCTAGTGTTTTCGACCTTTACGTAACATGAGGGCCATTAATCTAGCTTACTGTTTGGCACGGTGCGTGTTAGTTACCTAACCCTAAATATACTAAAACCTATCATTTTAGTATATAAATATTTTCTGACAACAACCAAAAGTCAGTTCGTTATTCTACGGCACTTGAACTGTGAATCTTACTTCTTACTAATATTATAAAAGCGAATGTTAGGATAATTGGATGGATGTTTGTTTGAAGTTATCTCCAGAACGGCTGAACCGATCTTAATGAAATTTGGAATACATATAGAACATAGTCTACAAGAACACATAGGCTACTAATTAAGTTTTTCTAATTACGTGCGGACGATGTCGCGGGCGACAGCTAGTTATTAATAAAGATTGATTTCTAATCCAGCTTTGGTATTTACAAAGAAATTCAGATAAAAATGTTAGAGGGTACCGGTTTGTTGTCTGCAATATATAATCTAATCAAGCGATGTAGTCATCGACACGCATGATTTGAGACGTTCAAAGATTAATATCCAAATGAATAAGTAGTAATTAAAAGATCATAAAATACTCTTTAGTCTAGACTAATTTGTTTAGTTATTCCAAATGTCTGGTATGCTTTTCATTCCCATCAACAACGGCAGACGAACCTTATTACCTACACAAGTCAGGCTTGTTCCGAGGAGCAGTAACGAATAAAAAAATCAAATTAAACAGGTCGATAGCCGGAGCGAAACTCAACTACACAGCCAAGACTAGATGTCTGATAATTTTAATGATACAACGCTAGTACAATGTGTTATCTCATTTATCAGTGCTCTATCTAAATTGATAATTGCATTTTTTTTGTACATTGATTAAAGCTTGAGAAATGAAGTCATTGAGAATACATTCCCAAGAAATTTTGTGATAAATAATTTTAATAGGTTAACCAGCTGAAAATGAATAATGTTTTATTAAGACAATGGCACTTTTTAACATAATATCGTTATAAATTAATACTTTATCGTTTTCCGTATTTTCTTCTGGCAGAGTATGAAATCAACCGATATGTTAGAATTCTCCTGCCAGTCCATCGCTTGTAGCTCTCGCAGATCCAGCTCTACGGCGTCTCGCCAGCAGTACCTGGGCCGACCGATTTGTCGGCGGCCAGTCGGGGTCCCGAGATATGCTGCTTTGGCCTTTCGAATTTTCCCCATCCTCATGAGGTGGCCCAGCCATCCGAGTCTGTGAGCTTTTGCTTCTAATTCTAATGATATTTAAAGGCGCAAGACAGACGAATTTGGCGATCTCTTGCGTCGGTGCCCAAGACCCACTTTGGGTCGATGGACCAGCGGAGTAAGTATGTTAGAATTATTTAGTATAGTTATAGTGTTGAAATTCCTTTAAATACATAAATAAAGCTATATAAAGTCGAACTGAGAAATAATTCTATCAAGGCGACTTTTCCGACTAATTAGGAGCGTATATACGTATACGTACTCTTAACTGGAATAGAGGCAAAAAATCTAAACCAAATATTAAGGAACTGTTTAGTTCACGATAACTATAATATTCGTGGTTCAAATGATAATGGACAGGTCGTGTCTAGACACTTGACAGACAGACTGTCTCGTTTAACGAATACTTAGCTTAAATAAACCAGTTATTATTATTCTCATGTTAAGCACTACATTACACGTGCGAGACAATTATCGTAACCAGTTTTACTATTTATCGTAGTATTTGAAACAATAGGACAGTAAAATTTTCTATATAGATACTTTGTTAAGTCAAATATTGGTTTAATTTACAAGGCAACCGCCACCAAAGGATTTTGAGTGGCAATAGTGTTTTGTTTGGTTTAAAATTGTGTCGATAACGAACAAATAAACCCGTCACTAATAGTTAACCTATGCTAAGATATAAATAAAAGCTTTTTTTAATGAAAACTTGTCAATACATTTAAAAAGTTAATTAAAAAATAAAATACATATTGATACTATACCGAACAACAAAACTTGTGTTAATAAATCTAAAATAACTACTATAAACTAATGGATATATTTAAGTTAGTGTCCTACTTTACCATTCCTGTTACGCCACTTCGTGGAATCCGAAGAGCCGACGTAAAGCTCTCCAGATATCAAAGCGCGTCATTGGTATTAACAACGTTGTTAAATTTAACTAGCTGTTTCTACGCTTAATATTACTATATTATACTGAGATATAAAATATTCCTAATTATCAATACTAGTTTAAAAAATATCTCGACCTTTATATAACAGTACCGACAACAACGTAACGAAATAAATATGATAAGATTAATTATTTAACTCGTAACACTTAATTGTATAGATTATCTAGGATGATCCTAGTTAAACATTA